AAAAGGTTTCAAAAAAAATAATTCCTTAACATTTCTATTAAATTTATTTTCTGATTTTTTTATGATTTTTTATTTTCATATATTATTTTTTGAATAATATTATTTTTAAGTTAATTAATAATTTCATAGTACAACATATATAAGTTCTGCATTGTGTAAAGAATTATGTAGTATTAACTGCAAGTTATAAACAATACTATTTTTTAATATTTTAAATAATTAATAATTTTTTTAATTTTGTAAAAGTGTAATAACAAATAAGAATTTTGTTAGTTTAATATTGCACAAATTTTATATATAATATATTTTTTTATTTCATTGCATTTTAAAGTGCAGTTTTAAGAGAATTGCAGTTTTACAATTGTTCTTAAATCTGTTAACAATTTATTTATTATTTATTTATTGAAAAGTTACTTTGTATTTGTTTTTCGTATTGGAGTTGAGTTAACGTAAACATTTTAATAAACAGTGATTTTAAATATAAATTAAATTATAATTGTAATGTACGAACATATGAACAATTGACTACGTTGTTTGTATATTGTTGGAGCTCTTTTACAATTATTTTTAATAGTATATATATTTATGCGTATTATACAATTATGTAAATATAAATAGAAATCTAGTAAACCTAGTATAAATAACTATTTTTTCGTACCGCACGTTTCTGATAACCTTGAGAGTCTATATAAGGAACTTCTGTGAGTAAACTGACTCCCTAAAAATATGTATAAATGTTGAGAGATATGTCTGCATGATTTTACAATAAATTTTTCATTTTAAGCTGATTACTTGTTATCCATAAGAAAAATATTAAGAAAAATATCTACAGATTGGTTTTTCTAAAATAGATCAGATCGCATTCCTGGTATTAATACATTAATGAATTATAAACATACTATTAACAAACATAATACTAACAAACCTACTATTAACAAAGATGCTATTGAAATACTGTATCATTTGAGAGTCTGCTCTCAAATGTTTAACAAAAATATAGGTTATTATCAATACCAGCTGATAAATTATTAATTAAGACGAATGTAAAAAGTGCAATATATATAAAAGAACTGAAGGAAACTCTGATATTTGCGCATTAAAAATATAAAGTAGGTGATAAACCCATTGTTACTATCTGTAAAAACTGACTTAATATTTATGACGATCTATTACGTGCTGACTCATATTTAGTACTTGTTTTTAGTACTAATTCATAATGATAATAATGACTAAAATTTTTTTCTTTAAAACTAGTTTTAAAATTTTTTTATATAGCGTCTTATAATAAAACATTTAAATTCCGTACTGTTCAAATATTTGACTTATTTCTCAGCAAATAAATACAAAGAACCAGTGAGTTTTAGCTTTATTATTTACGTTTAAGTTATTTGTTTTGTAATATAAATTTTTAGTATCTTTATGAATATAAAATGGAATTAATTGCAAGAAATACTCACTGTAGACACATAATTAGCGTTGATATTGTTGTATCTCCATTAGTTTGTATGCTAAGTGGTTTCAAATTACTTTGCTTAGTAAGCCACGTGTGAACCCACAACTGAGTCTTGTGGGTTGATATGTAAATTTTTAAGAAAGTTTACGTTTCTTTGAAAATAACTTACAAAGAAACCCCCTTTTTATTACGAGAATATAAATAACTTATAAATATTTAAGTTTAAGTATAGTCAATAATTCAAGTCACGGTATGTTAATTATTACTAGGTACATGTATTTTTATTTTTTCGGAAATATATATTTTATTAGTCAATAATTACATATAGTAAATAAATACATATTTTCTTCAATTATTTAACATCAAACTTAAAAATATTTGAAATATTTAGTAAAAATAAATAAAATCAATCATAGATATATACGTATATAACCACAGTTCTTCTAAGGTAACACATATCTGTCGTAAGAAACGAAATCTCATTAGACACTACCTTTTACTATTTCGATTATCAATGGTAATGACTTAGTTTAATTTGCAGCACACAATCAGAGGTGTAAATCTAGTATAATGGCTGTAAAGACCCACAGCTTCGAGTGTACTGACCAACAGAGGTTGGCTTCTTAAAAAGAGTGTTAGAGTGGCTGCAGTTAAAACCCAATTATATGCTTGTAAAATGACTGTATTCATTTCCTTTCTTTTGATAAACAGTTTCATTTTCCAAGCGGGTGCTGTGACTTAATGAAAAGCAGATGTTTTAAATAGGCCTCTTACCCCAAGAATGAGGAAACTATATCAAAAAGTGTAGTTTCAATTGGTGCAGATAGTTCCAGTAAAACTTAAACGAAATCTTTATTGACACATTATACCGATATGTGTGTTAAGAACACAGTAATGTTAAGCCTTCATGGTATGTAATCACATTAAATAAGTCTGGACTCTGCATTCAATTTCGTAGCACTCTCGAAAGTACATGAGTTTTCTGTGTTGTGCATATGTTATTACTTCTTAGTCAACATGAAGTATTTATGATTTTTTTCGGTGATATATTTTGACGAGTCTAAAGGTCACTTTATTAGTTATCAATTATTGTTATTAAAATTATGGTCTTATTATTTATCGATAAAATCAAATTCGGTATTTTATATATATGTGCATTCTGTAAGTTTGCATTTTATACCTATGTTGATTTTAACCCAATTTTTAATCCATTTTCATTTCGTCCTTCATTTGATAAAATTGGTTCAGTCAACATAACGTTGGGTTGTTTATATAGATATCAATACAACCACTAGGAGACAAATATGTCCCCATAATGTCAGGGAAGACAAGTTACATTAACCTATTTTACACTATTCGTTACAAAAAATCCATTTTTCAAGGCTTATAACCATATTCCATAATTAGAAGTAAATAGTAAATAGATCATTCTGATGTTAATGCTAATCTTAAGTTCTACAGAAAAAATATGATTGAAAGTATATCAATATCATTGAATAATTTAAAATTTTGTACAAGCTTATTATTTCATAAGATTATGTTGTACAAGTTTATTATTTCATAAGAAAGTCAATATGCTACCAAAAAAACTTGTATTTACATATAACACCATCGGATATATAAAATCACAAGTATTGAGAATGTTTACGTTTAGAATTAGCTCTCAATGTATTCTGTTGTAAAATTTAGAAGTTGCTGGTGTGACTGATTATGGGATTTCCATATGTTTTTTTTTCGGCTGTTGTGAGCAAATCTACCAAGCAAATATAATTTATTTGTCGGATTGATTGGATGGGAGATTGTTTCTGATATTTTTGAATTGCAAATAAAATTGCAGTTGTCAGTTCATTACTTGCTCGTGTCGAGAAAAGTTGGGTTTATTTTTTTAGAAGTTCTCGGCAAATTCATTCAAGTCTAATATAATTTTTATTGCGGTTACTCTATATAACTCTATATAAATATAATGACTGAGTCTTACGATTTTGGATTTCGATTATTATTGTACATTTGCATTATAATTATAAAGTTTGTAGTTTTAATATGTTGGTATGTGAGAAGAAAGCGTCGAAGTCAATTTAAAGGTGAAATATTAATTAATGAATGTTAGTACATTTCGTATATTAATATGATAGATAATTACTAAATATATTTAATAAATGTATTGCATATCAAATTTGTTAAACAAAATTTATGTGTATAGAATAGTTAAAAAAGAATAGATTCTTATAAATGCCACATTAAAATATTTGTTATCACATTTCAATACTCTGTGAATAATGCTCTGTATTTGATTGTTAACATTAAAAATATAATTACAACTTTTACAATCTTATTTCAAATAATTAATATAAGTCATAGAATGAGTCAATCGGTTCCAAAAACTTATATTTATGTATCTATTAACACTGAATAAATGAGGTTTGTGAAAATTTGCTAAAAGCATCTAAACAATTAATTGTGACGTAATGAAAATATATTCAAAGAATTGGACAACTCAAACATCATTCAGTAACTCTCCAGTCTGTCGCTTTTGGTCGACTAGAGCGGTCAGAATTATCGGTGTTCTTACGACCTAATTTTTATACAGCATATTCACTCAGAAAAATACGCTCTAACTCTCTGATTATTTTGTTAGAAAAATTTTAGCTCCAAGATCATGTGGCCAAGAAGATTGAAAAACCAACATGTGGTGTGATTGAACCGGGATGAAGGGTCGAATTAGAACATTTAATTAAAATCTGGTAAAATCAACCAAATTACTATCCTGTTTTAATTAATAATACTTAATTTCCCCGCTACAGCAGTAATTTTCTCCATAAGATGGAGACAATGTTTAATCAAGACACAAAATTTTTATACCTCCATTGTTTTGAAGATTATATAATTATGGCCACCAAGACCACTGAAATCTCTAAAATAATTACAAGTATCAGAGTGTCATATAATTTTGATGTGTATCGTTTGAAGAATGCTACTATTCATAAATAAAACGGTTTTATCATTATATCATTTTATCATTTTTAGTTTTACATATATATATTTATATATGACAGATATATACATTTGAACTTTTTGAGTGATGCCATATTTGAATATGTAAATAAATAATTTACGAACTGCTACATATGCGGCATAAGGCTCAATTTAAGTGTATTTTATTAACATATATCTACCAAATATATGTACCATACCATATTATTTCTTTGATAATGGTTTGCGATTTATTAAAAGTACTCGTATGTAATAAAAAATAATTGATTAACAAAAAACTAGTCGAAATATTGTACCTTCAGTAACGTTCATATTTTGACGTTGCTAATTAAATAAATTGAATCAATCTCATTGATGGATAAATACTTCATTTAATTAAATTAAATTATGTTAAATTATATTAATTATTATTAATGTATTATTTAATATATTAAATTACGCATATTAATGCAAGTCAATATGTCAAATTAACAGTTAATGAAATAAGTGCACCAATCCTATCTAGCACGTTAAATTCAAATTGTTAGTAATAACAGATCCATTGAGTAGATACAGTATGGAGCAAGAAACTCAAATTTCACCTGAGGACTTCGTAAATTCAACCTATTCACTTGATAATCAAACCGAGATTTTTCATAATAAACCATATATTGCATCTGGTTGGGTTTTAGGAAAACTAATAGTTTTGTGTATCAAATTACTAATTATTTTTTCTATGCATTTAATAGGATTTATTCTAGTTCGACGCTTTCATAAGAGAAAATATAAAGTTGAAAATGGGGATTCAAATAGTAATCAAAATTTAATTACATTAATAAATTATGAACGCAATATTTATTTTATGTATTCATTCTATTTTAATTTAATTTTTATGGTTTATTAATACTTTTTATAATTTCGAAAATTAATTTAAGTTTATAAAACATAAAATTAATATAAAATATGAATTGATCCTATTAATTTCAACAAAATTTTATTACTTTCAGCGCCTGTTATAGTAACGTCAGCTACACATACTGCACCTGGTGATTATTCAGTTACACAGATGCCTCCGCCAGGTGGTTATCAAACAAATGTAACTGTGGCATCTTATCCCCCTCATCAACAGTAAGTAATAATTAAATTCTTTATAGACCTTCACTTTTGCATATAGACCTCTATTAGCAGATCTATATATCAATATGAAAAGTACTTTGCTTAAACATTATATTTTAATTACAGAATGCAACCTCATATGGCTCCTTACCCTCCGATGGCAGCACAAAATTCTGCAATGAATCCACCACCATATGATGTAGCCGTGGCTGGTGCACGTTATCCAAAGCAATCTGCCTACGAAAAACAAGCGCCATACAATCCAAGTTATACGGCACAATAAAGAGTTGCACAACCAATCTAACATATAAGTTATAGAATTTTATATTCATATTTGTCTCCATGTGTACATTGTATCCATTCAAACTATCCTGCAAAAATGTGTCTTCAATGGTGTGTTTCCTGTTAATAAATGAAATGTGCTACACATTCTTTCATACGAACCAAAGGAATACGATATTGTGTTATTGTGAAATATTATTATTATATATAAATTTTATAAAAATATGTCAGTCTGCACATTTAAATGTTTAAGTAGTGCACTCAGTGAATTAGACATTCAAAGAAGTGAAATGTATTCCGATCTATGCCATACGAAAATAGCACAAATGAATTGCTTCACGAATATCAAAACTCCGTTTGATATATAAACTACAGAACCCATATGTTTAAAGTTAAAAATCAGTTTTAAATAAATCATTATAAATAGTTATTGTTGTGATCTAATGTAAGATAATACAAAACAAATGAAGTATAATTTAGAGAATGTATTAATAAATTATTTAAATGTTATATGCAATTTATTATTAGTTTTTTATTACACGAACTTACTCACGAAATGATGATATGTACATGAAGTCAGTAATTTCCTCTATATATATATATATATTGTTACGACTTTATACAGCAAATTAAGCTTCTTTGACTCAAATGTCAAAGTCTACCTTCTCGCGGTACATCCTGTTTCCACTGAAAGAGCTCTGGCGATCGAGTACATGGCGATATAACCATGTTGACAGCTGGGTATAGTAGGAAATGACTATAACCACAGAACAAAGCGTGGTAGGTGTGGAGGCCACATGCTAGCAAATAATAATCGTAAGGCAGCAGCCCTGTCATTAAACTATGAAAGTTAAAAGTACATGGCGATACATATAACCATGTTGACAGCTGGGTATAGTAGGAAATGACTATAACCACAGAACGAAGCGTGGCAGGTGTGGAGGCCACATGCTAGCAAATAATAATCGTAAGGCAGCAGCCCTGTCATTAAACTATGAAAGTTAAAAGTTGATTGGCTATAATTTTCGTGAACTAACTAAAAGACTCGATTTGCTCAGTAGAATGTTAAAACTCTATTTCAAACAGAAAAATTAGCATAATTAACATCTGAATGTAAAAGGCTACGCATTGATGTTTTGGGCATCAGTGAAATGAAGTGGAATGAATGCGGCGTAAAACATACTGCGAGTGGAGACTTGATTATATACTCAGATACCGAAAAAATAGAAATGCTCTGCTTGATTGGCACGCAATATTAGAACGAATAATAACAGCACTTCTAAACACTAAATATCGTAAAATAATAATTGTCCAATGTTATGTTCGACAAAAGAAAGCGAAACAGAAGTTGAAGAGCAGTTCTATAGTCTCCTGAACAGAACATTATCGTATGTCAACCACAACGACCTTATAATTCTAATGGGAGACTTCAACGCAAGAATAGGTAGCACTATAGGTAGCATTCCGGCTTAGAACACGTGATTGGAAAACACGGCGTTGGAGAAAGAAATGAAAGCGGTGACCTCTTGTTAGAGGTGTGCTCGAATCATGGTCTCATATTTATATACAAGGCAGTATATAAAAGAACTTGGATGCCGCCTAACCCAGCTCTACACAATCAGAACTTTCAATTGAACCATATTTGTGTCAGCAAACGTTGGGCAGGAATATTACTGGCAGAATTCGGACTTAAAACAACTTGCGTTATGAGTAAAAATAACTCAAACAGAAAAAACTTCTAAATTATTAAACTAAAAGACAACAATGTCAGATTAGGCTTTGTGCAATCAATGTGAACTAATTATGAAAATAGATGTAGAGATAGACAGACGTCTGATGTTTTAAACTTGTTATATTTTAGAAACAGTTACTGAAGTGCTTGGCAATGTAACAAAAACAAGTAAAGAATGGTTATGCGTATCCTTTTGACAATTAGTAGAAGCCAGAAAGGGGAAAAGGGCAAAACTTTTAAGTCAGCCAAATACAAGAAGCGGTTTGGAGCTTGGGAGAGACAACGACACTCTGATTAAACAAACTAAACGACGTGCGAGAAAAGATAAAAGAGAATTCTTTGACATTACACAATCCACCGAACTCTTATTCCCGCTGTATAAGAACATTTGGCTATCAAAAGAGATACCATCCAAATAGATGGGGACATTGATAGTAAAGCTACCTAAAAATGCTTTCGCCCGAACCGGTCCTGTGTCGACAATATAAATATCATGCGTGTCATTATTCAACATTGAGTTCAGCACCGTCCTGTATGTAGTCTTTGTTGATTATGAAAAAGCGTTTGATTCAATCAAGAGAGAGGCGCAACAGAGACTTGGTAATCCGCAAAAAATAATCAATATTATAAAAAAAAGCTATGAAGGTACGAAGTGCAGAGTTCTGCATAATGGTAAAATAAGTCAACCATATATTTCAACAACCAAAGTCAAACAAGGCTGCATTTTATCACCACTACTGTTTATTGTTGTGCTCGATTGGGATGCTAGAAATGTTTAATTCGCAAAACCTCGGCATCAATTGGAGGCTAGAGTATGCGGACGACATTATACTGCTTTCAGTAAAACTGAAGCAATGCCTATAAAAACCGAAATATAATTCGTTTTACAATTAATGGGCATCACATCGTAGACACCGAGAGCTTTACTTATTTAGGGAGTATTTTATCGGTTTATGGGGGTGCGAAGAAGGACATCAATAGCCGCATTCAAAAAGCGCGAGTAATATTCGCTAGGTTGCGCAACATATGCGGACCCACAATATACGTACCAACACCAAGGTAAAAATTTTTAACGTATGCGTCAAATCGCTATGCCTATATAGATTGAAAACCTGCTGACTCCGAAATCGAAAGAAGACTGCAATCATTTATTAATTGATGCCTGCGCAACATATAAGGTATACAGTAGCCTAAAACGATTTCATTTGTTAGATTTACTTAGAAAGCAAAATTCTATTAAATAATAAATTTGATTGGATTTAATTTTGAACTTAAATATATTTCCATATACTTGATTTGTTGCGAAAATGATAGAAATGAAGGACTGTTGAAATGTAATAAAATCTAAAGATAATCCAAAGATAAACGGTACAATCCTTTTTTATTAAAATTTAATTAATAATAAAATTTATTTAACGTAGAAATTTATTAAATATTAAAATTTATTTAATATTATAATTTATTTAATATTAAAATTTAATTAATAATAAAATTTATTTTATTAAATATTAAAATTTATATTATATCTATATATTATACCTATATACATTTTTCTTAAGATTCTAAATTTTTTTTTTTAAATTGTGTTTAATAAGAAAGAAATTATTTTATATTTAGAGAAACGCAGTGAGTATAATTATAATGATATGTATAAGTAAGTGTTATCATAATGTTAATCTGTACAATTTTTTTATCTTTATTAGCACACGTGTTATATCTACTTTTATATCTGGAGAAATGTAGTGCGTCACAAAGAAAAGTAAGTTCTTAGTTCCAAATGGCTGTAGAACTTGTAATCTATTTTGTGGATAAGATGTGATTATGAGATGTTGGTTCTGATAAATTTGCATTATAAATTTTTCTCAAATCAACTTTTTCACGCCTTGCAGTTTGTGGATTTCTGCAGTA